ATATATATATATATATATATATATATATATATATATATATATATATATATATATATATATATATATATATATATATATATATATATATATCACAAGTTTTGTAACGTATAGTGAAGAGAGTGCTCAATACATAAAATTTTGTAGAGCGAATGTAATTACTATTCTTACTTAAAATGTTTTTTTTTAAGTAAGAATAGTAATTATATATATATATATATATATATATATATATATATATATATATATATATATATATATATATATATATATATATTTATAATATAGTCATCCACCGTATATGAGCTGTTCTGCAATCTGATTGGTTGAATTACTCGCCGTATATCAGCTCATATACGGCGAGTAGCGAAAAACAAGATGGCGGTCCAAAAACTACATGAGTTTTGCGAAGCAGAAAAAGGAAAATATTCGCTTTGAAAAACATAATAGTACAAGGAAAAACTCTCAAAAAAAAATTGACAGGTTAGCAAAATACATTTATTACGTAGAAATTAGTTTAAATACAAGTTTTTTAAAGAATTAATACCGAAACAACAGCGAAAAACATGTTCATTGAGAATATAAATTGTTCAGAAAAGTTTGCAATGAACGACAAATGAATTTGCAGTCAACAAGCACTTACTATAGTACCAAACATCTGTATAATATATCTGAGCTTTCTTGTGAGATATAGAGGTTCTAAAACCGTTTCTTTCACTTCGTCTTCGAGTTGTAAAACAAAAGTATTTCAAATTTTCAAGCGGTTTTTGGCCGAACAAATTGTCAACATATTGTAACAGTGAATAATTAATTACTGCTTCAGTTAATGGCTATATTAGACTATATTATAAAACAATTATACCATTCGCTCTCGTCGTATATGGCTGATAGCCGACTCGGTGCTACGCACCTCGTCGGCTATCAGCTCATATACGACTCGAGCTCATGGTATAATTGTTAAATATATATATATATATATATATATATATATATATATATATATATATATATATATATATATATATATATATATATATATATATATATATATATATATATATATATATATATAGATTGTCTATATCTTAAAATTAAATATCGCTACTCTGAGTTTCACGTCCTTTCTAGACGATCATCAGGCGATTTCGCCTTAGGTCAATTTATCTGAAGAGTGCCACATACTGTGGTACGAAACTATTTAGTAATAAAGATGCCTAGTGGATTTTGTTGATTTGTTGTACCTTAACTTAATTTATATATATATATATATATATATATATATATATATATATATATATATATATATATATATATATATATATATATATATATATATATATATATATATAGATATATAAAAACTAGTAATTGTACTCCCCACATACTTTTTCCCACATTTTCTACAATAAATCAAATAAATCACCCCAGCCGAATCGCAATCAAAGTTGTAATTAATGTAGTATTTTACTTTTCCCTCGAGAAATTCTTTCCCCTCATCTACATAATTACAAATCTGACAACGACTCTTATTACACTTACTCATCCCTACACTTACCTCCCTAGCCTTTTTAACCTTAGATCTAACCAAACTATCTTTTAAATTTTTTGGTCTCTTATATGAAACAATCGGCCTACTACCGAAGACATCCCTCATCCTCTCCGATGTCTCCAGAATCGGCCAAAGTGCTTCCACAATTCCATTAATTTCCTTTAATGCCGGATGAAATTCTACTACCAGTGGTACTCTATTACCCAAGTTAGAATTCTTCCTCTTATCCGTTTGGCGTAACATTTCAGCCCTATCCTTAACTTTAACCTCAGAAAACTGGTCCTTAACCAACTTTTTGTTAAATCCTCACTTTATAAAATGACCTTCCATTTCTTTAAGCCTATCCTGAAAAACTTTTTCCGAACTACAAATCCGTTTTAATCTTAGCGCCTGACCATAGGGGATTGCCTTCTTCACATGTGCAGGATGACAAGACTTGAAGTCTAAGTATTGATGTGTATCCGTCGGTTTTGAATACACATCCGTTTGCAATTTACCAGACTCCAATTCCACCCGCACATCCAAATAAGACACCCCCCTTTCCGAATATTGTTTCATGATAATTGTTAATATAATTTAAAAATTCCAACAGGGATTCTTTACCATGAAGCCAAATAAAAAATATATCATCCAAAAATCTGAACCATACTGAAGGACTCATTAAGTGATACCCCGCCAACATTTTATTTTCCAGTTCTGCCATAAAAATATTTGCAAACGCTGGAGCAAATTTTGTGCCAATGGCTGTCCCTAACTTTTGTTTATACACTTTTTCACCGAATTCAAAATAATTGTTATCTAATATAATTTTGGCTAAATCAATCAAATCATCTACAGAAAGTCCCTCCCCTTTATCCATACCACAATTTTTTCTGAAATCCTCAATATATATATATATATATATATATATATATATATATATATATATATATATATATATATATATATATATATATATATATATATATATATATATATATATATATATATATATATATATATATATATATATACTCATACATTCTCTCTTTAAGGTTACAGGACACCTTTTTTGGCGTTTTGCGGAAAATCGCTACTGCGCGCTCAATATCAGTCCGATTTTCATCAAATTTTCACCAAATGTTCTCCAGTGCATGCAAAATATGGTACAGTTGTAAAATTAACAAACAATAAAATAATGTAAGAATTATTCAGGAAAATCTTAAATCGCGGTACCTTTACGCTTTTGAGTTGTGCTCCTGCTGGTTTTAAGATATATTTATGAAAATATCATTTTTATACAGTAAAATAGTTGTTCTAAAAAATTGTGTTCGGAAACTTTTGTTTATTTCGTCATTCCGCTGATATGGCGATTTCTTTGACGACTGCAATATATTTCTGAATCGTTTGTGTGAATTGCTCCTTATTATTAAAATATCCAAAATTAGAACAAAGCCGAACACGATTTTGAAACTGACGTCTTTAGCTATGTCCTGTGAAAATTTGAGAAAAATTCGTTAAAACCCGCAGGAGCACAACTCGTTTAAAAATCAGTAATTGCCGTAAAATTCTTCGGGAGAAAATTGAATTTGAATATTACATTTTCAATGTTTTTCTTATTGCAAGCGAAATGTATTTTATTAAATAACTGCGAGTTTTCAACATTTTTCGTCCAAACTTGGTCAGATAGTAGAACTAGTCTAATGCTTTCATGGAAACCAATAAAAAAATTTAGGCAAAATTAACACTCAAAGGTGTTCTGTAACCTTAATT